ACTGTTGGTTACTTATCCCTCAGGCAGTCCGATTTGAAAGCAAACCCCTGATTATTCGTCTATTACGACATGTCTTTCTGGGATAGTGAATCTATTTATTTACCCCCAAAATAGGATCTCAGAACCCACACGCTGAGATGAGGGTGATAATAAAGATGACGATACTGAAAATGATAAAATGTTAATAATGATGACGATGATACTGATGAAGATGACGATGAACGAACGAACTTTTTTTTCCCTTTATGATGATGATGATGATTACATATAAAAGAACGAATTAGATGGAATCTAATTAGATTTTTCAAAAGGGCGGTGTGTGTGCGGGTGGGTTATGGGGGGGGGGGGGGGGGGAGGTTGGGGGGTAAGTCTGGATTTAGGCATAAGCTAACTAAGCTGGAATTTAGGGCCTCGTAATCTGCAGGGGGTCTCAACGAGCTCCCTTTTTTTTCTTCACAAAAACACTTTTCTTTTAACAGAGCCTTTAAGCGGATTATTTAATATAATTTATGTGATTGTGCAGAAACATTTTTTGTTATTCCTTATACTAAAAATTGATTTTTGAGGTTTGAACAACGGATCAACATCATGGCACACGGGTAATAACCCATACATGCTCCGCTCTTTTTCCAACTCAAGTCAGAGTCCGAAGAAGCTCAGCACAGTGTACAGACTCTGTAGCACCGGCGACGATCCTGAAATAATTTGGGTAGATTTTTTACTCCAAATTTTGCCTGGACGGCGCCTTAAGGATACTCTTTTCGATTTCCAACTGTTAATGGATTTTTTACGTGCGCGACGAGACACACGGGCGTCCGATCTCACTACCCATAGAGCAGCAGAAATTACTATAAATCTAAGTCCAGGTGAAAAAATCGCAGCCCTTACCGGGGATTGAATCCGGAACCTCTAGCACTCGAAGCGGACACTATGCCTCGAGACCAGGCAGCCCCCATGTACTAATATTAAATACATAAGTATATGTCCATTATCCCCATATTTGAAGGAGTATATATTTTACAGTTTTCTGAGGTTAGCTGTTGTAATTTAAAACAGTACAGTGCCACATTGCTTTATGTTTATCTGAGGGCCTCAAAAAGTTGTCTAAGGGCGGCCTCGGGAGGAAGGCTTGGGGGGCGGGGGGGGGGGATACAATTGAAGCGTGACAGAAACGTATTTTCTGTTAACAATTTTCACTGACATTAAAGTAAAAAAAAAAATCAGTAAGCTAATCGTCAATTTGCCATCGTAAATAAGTGTATTCTGGCAGAGATAAATAGATGTTTAATGTTATTGTTGCATCATAGAACTTTACTGTAATACATTTAACCTGGGAGAGGGAGGTTACGTGGCCGAGCGGCCAAGCCGTTTACCTCAAACTATGAAGCTCGTGGGTCCTACCCGTCGTTTAGTTCATGGGTGCAATTTTGTCGGAGATCACTGTCGCCCCAGCTACGGAGGTCGTGCTTTGTGCGACGCTTGTGGCAGGCGGTTAGCTGTCAGGCGGAAAGAGGCCCAGTTGTTTGTCATAAACCCCAGTACAAAGAAGTTAATTCTCTCGGCTGTAACTTTTCAACTTTAACATATAATATAAAAATGGGAATCTTTATTTTAATTCACCCTAAACAACGGAATTCTGGGAGTTTCCGGGAAAGTCTAATATTTTAGGGGTGTGAGGGTCAGTCGGTGTCTCTGAGGCGGTAGTGGGCTCACAAAGATCTGTTTAATTTTAGTGACAGGGCCTGGTGGCGTTCTCTTGATATGGTCCCACCAAATTATAGCTTCAGTCAGTCAGTAGCATGTCCTTTGCAGAACCATGCTCCCATAACAACCATTCGGAAAACTTTTCGATCACAAGCAAGATGTCCCGCGTCCGATACCCCTATCTGGAAACCATCTGCCATATCCTGTATCCATCTTCTTTTTGGCTTTCCTCTTCGTCTCTTCCCTGGCATATACCACTCCATTATTGTTCTCAGTAAACCATCGTGTCGATTTAAGTGACCAAATATTTTAATTGTCTGTGTTTTATCGTCTTTAATAGCCAACCTTCTTCAATATTAAGTTCAAGAAGTATGGATGCATTAGTTCTTTTCTTTACCCAAGATATTCTTAGAACCTGTCTGTAACATTTTTATTCAAAGACATTTATGCACTGTTCAGCTTGTTTAGTAAGTGTCCAGGTCTCACAGGCGTATGTTGCAATGGGAAAGATGCATGCTTTTAGAAATAGAATTTTTATAGTTCTGTCTGTCTCACTCCATAATTTATTCAGTTGTTTTAGTATAACTTCAGTGTTCATGTCAAATCATAACATCCCTGTAATATTAGACTGTCTTGGAAACTCTCGAATTTCTGTTGTTTGGGCCGAATTTTTACAAAAGTACCAAACAATGACCATTTCGTCGGGTAATGCATGCTCCACTTATGTTTTCCTTGACAAATTGACACTAATAATTACGTTGGACGTCCAAGAGAAATCCTAAGCGATTTGATGAGACGCGCTTCCACCCAAGGCATCCATGAGGCTGCACACAAAAAAAATGATTGAAGATATAGAGTGCAAGCTTAACACTGTATCCTTCCAAAACGAAAAATCAATAACCTTTTTTATGTTTCTAATAACTCCGTCAAAAATCATTCGATTAATGTAAAATTTGGTACAAATATTAACGGAACGTTAAACTACATTTTGACTATAAATTGACGCTCAGAATGTTCATAAGCAGCTGCAACACACGTTTTAATCGGGCCCGCCAACTTTTTTTTTTTTTGAAAACACCATGTTTATGATTCTTTGGTCTAACTAACTCCAAGTCTGCTTTATCCGATTATTTAGCGCATCCATGATGCTTATTTTGCTTTTATAAACCTTTTCTTGCATGAAGCCCCAAATTATGTTGTCCACGGAGTTAAGGTCTGGACTACTAGATGGCCACAAATTCGGTTCGATAAATTCGGGTGTTTTTCTGCGAGAGAGGTAACATTGCATCTCTAGCCAATTCGACGTGTGTTAATAAATGAGCAGACAGATAGACCGGTCGGTTCTGCACCACTTGGTGTTAAACTGATGTTTGACAAGCTGGATGTTGTGAGGGTCCTTTGGGAGCGAGTGAACAGTGCGTAAGCTCAAATAGATTATTACGGTCTGAGGAGAATGGCGCTCTGAGGAGTTATTAGGGGATTTGGCCGATGCTCAACACTCAAGGGTAAGGCGAGACGGATGTACAATCAGACACTTACTGGTGAGAAATTTTAACTCTTCGCTTGCTGTTGAAGATGGGGACGGAGCGCTTATGGGTGTGTACTGCGTACTGTGATGTCGATTCTTTATTCAACATTCAATTTGGACGCAGACGAATTAGCAATCGTGCAGCTGTTGTACAACGCCACCTACAGATTGGAAAGCGTTCTGTGGCCAGAAATCCGTGGCGCGATATTCAAATCCTAACAGAAGGTATTCTCATCAACAGTTGTGTCAAAGTTTATTACAGTAAGATACCTGATTCGCTAGCTCAGTAGGTTAAACTGACTGTGCGGCGACCGGCTGACAAACTTCTTGTCGTCTGAGTTCACGCCCGAGGGTAGGCAGAAAAGCCACATTTCTCCTAAATTTACGATATTTATCCTGGAATCAAGGCCGAAGGGTTGCGATATCCATAGTACCGAACGAAAGGGTTAACAACTCATGGTTTCTGGATATTAAAAAAAAGAAATAATAAGTCAGAGGACTTTGGACATAATCATTAAAATTATGTAAAAGTTACTGATTTTTTTGTGTTGAAAGGGGGGGGGGGTAGGGGGGTAGGATTGCGGGAGGGAGGGTTAATTGTGTGTATGACGTGTACTGGCACAGCAGGAATATGTATATATTATATATAAAAACACCTCGTTAACACAAATTCGCATAAGACGAACACTTGGTCAACGTGAATAAAATGTTGGTCCTAGCAGGGATGCTTATTCATTTTATATCTACAGTTCCCCAGTTAGTATGAACTTTTCTAAATGAACTCTTGATTTTTTGGGGTCGCTTAGTACTCCAGCTAGTGTATGAAATCCAGCCCAGCACTTTTAGCCTCTCTCAACCACGTTCCTCTGGTGGTTTCTTTGGGAGTTTCTCGCTTCCTCGGTCAGTTTGTTTCCCATTTCAGTGTCCTTGCCCGCATACGACTTCGGGTTCTAACTAGCTGGTATATCTGAAACGGGTGCCATAATTATAACTTCTTTGGAGGGTGAACGGAATCTCAGATCTGCGATGTTGGCATGCGATCCGTACTGAGATAGTTAAATACGTGGATCATGTCAACCTTTAGATAGCAGTCTAAAGGGCACATCCTGATCGATCGATTGGTCTGAACATTAGGGAGTAGTCGAAGAAGAGGAGGGAAAGGAAGAAACTGGAATGCCAATACGGACAGGACTAAGTTATCATACACTTATATATCAAACATAAGACTGAGAAAGATGGCGGGTTTGTTTGCTAGGGATTCCATCAATACACCTCCACAACCCTAGGGGGTTAAGTGTTCTGTGATGTTATGTTTATTTCAGTGCCTTGGGGCCGCGTTAGCGCAGTCGATAAGAGGCTCGCTTTCAAATCCAGCTGCGACTCGCTGCAGCCACGGTCGGTTTTCGAAACCGGGCGGCTCTCGTGGTTCACCCAGTCTTTAGGAAATGGGTACCAGAGTTGACACTTTTGGGGTAAATGGAGGAACGTCGCTGTAGCTACAGAGTTACGTGCGAACGGCGTCACAGGCGTACAATTCTTATCAGCTGTCCATACTGGTGGCAGAGCACTTATGGTTTATAACCGTGTGCAATGACGCTGGTTCACATCTCCCGACTTTACCTTATTTCAGTGCCTGAACAGCAGGATGAGAGCAGGGAGAGAAACAGCCGGGTGGCAGCAGGAGAAGGAAGAGAAGGAGGAGAATGAAACACTCAGCGACTTAGTATCCAGATACAAAATACATATAAATACACTGAAATGCACTCACCTTTATCAAGTATACATCCGACCCTGGGTCGGAAATCCGCATGGCTGAGGCACAGCCCAGAAAGATGAACAAAACCTGAGCCAGGAACTCAGCGAAGACCGCTCGCCACAACTCGGCGGACTTCAGCTCGGACAAGTCCGTGATCTTTCCCGAGGGGCCGGACTTGCCGAAGCGTAGACCTTCTAACTTGTTGGCTATATGGATGTAGAGGGCTTCCATGGCTTTCCGCGGGTTTGGGTCTCTAGATGAAGGATGGATTCTTTAAGGGTGAATTTAGTATTGTTTTTCTGTACAGTTTTCTTGGAGTCCCTTTTCTTGTGAATTTCTTGAATATATATGATGCTGTGTGAGTCCAATTAGTTCTTCAACTATTCATTATAGATGACATGGCAAATGGCTTCTCATATTATTTATCTGATGATTTCTCTGGTGACTTAGCAGATGACTTCTTATAATTCTTCTCAGATGACGTCTCTGCTGACGGATGAAATGACTTCTCATTAGACTTCTCTAGTACTTTTTATAAGACTTCTCAGATACTTTTTATAAGACTTCTCTAATACTTCCCATAAGACTTCTCGAGTACTTCTTATAAGACTTCTCACGTACTTTTTATAAGACTTCTCGGGTACTTTTTAAAAGACTTTCTGTAAGACTTCTCGAATAACGTCTATTGTGACTTCACAAACGACTTCTCCAACTGAACACTTTAAACAACATCTCAGAGCGGGTACTTCTCGGTTCTAGAAGATTGGATGTTTCTGCAGGTTTCAAACATGATGAGGATTACGTCAAGCTCACGTCTGCTGAATTATCTAGTTGTGGTTGTCTAAGGATTGTCCGCAGTATCGATTCTACAGATAAGAAAAGAGAAGTAATTGCTAACACTCAAGAATCTTCAGTAGTGTATATACAGATAACATTTTAAACAGTAAAACACTCAACTTGAAATCTTCTTCACATTTACCGGCTGTAAACTCCGGCAGAATATTCTGGTTGTTTGTCCAATTCTGGACTCTAGTCCTGTTCCAGAACCTGAGTGTTGCACGCACATCCGTTTCACAGGTCTGACTGTATGCAGACTCTTGGTTCATTGCCTCTCAGGCAGATGTACTCAGATTTCGAAGGAAGCTTCCAGTTAGTCGACTCTTACGACATGCTTTTGGACAGGCAGTGGGTCTATTCCTGTTTTTACCTACAATGGGTCCTCGGAACCCACACTGGGAACCAACATGAAATTCTTTGTGAGGTTGTTGCAGACACAACATGTGTGTACAGCTGGCTATCAAGTCAGTGGACATTTGCTGTGACTGCCTCCACCTGCATTCTCAAACCATGGTTGAAGTTGTGTTATTGGAACTGTTAATTAATACATTTAGATTCATCATCATCCCGTAGCACTGCGTGTCGCTGGGTCACTAGTTTCTGTTGACTGTCGGATCAGCTCTCTTTACCTTTGGCGGTCAGTTGCGATGGACTTCATAGTTGCATGCCTGAGGCCTGTCCAGTCAGTCAGGTTCTGTATTCAGGTCTTTCTTGGTCTGCCTCTTCTCCTCTTTCCCTCTACTGAGCCCTGCAGTATTGTGTTTTTTTTATTTTTTATTTTATTTTTTGAGGCCGTTAGCTCTTATTACGTGTCCATACTAATGCATGTTTCGCCTTTTCACTGTAGTTAAAAGAAGTTCATAGTTGCCAGTGAGCTGTATAATTATATTGCGAATCTCTTCGTTTGTAGTGTTATCTCTGTATGATATGCCAAGACTTTTTCTGAAACATCGCATTTCCAAAGCGTGTACCTTCCTTTCGAGTTCAGCTGCTAGGGTCCACGTTTCACAGCCATATGTAAATGTACTAAAAGCTAGTGCTCCGAGCAATAGAATCTTAGTTTTGCATGAAATGATTTTGGATTTTCATAAAGTTTGCTGCTTGACAAGGACTGGTGTTATTTGGGCAATCCTAGACATGATTCCTGGTCTTGACCCAAGGTCACTTAAAATGAATCTTAAATATTTGAAATGACTGACACGTAAATTGCCTGGAGTTTTAGACGTGTGTACAGTTATTATCATCATCATCATAAACAACTTCTGCCGTTAAACGCCGTGGGGAGGATTAATTTGCGATCCAGTGCACCCTGGCTGCCACTGGCTAGTGTCAAGGCGTAGAGTGTCTTTAATGTTGTCGATCCATATTTCCGTGGCCGTCCTCTTGCTCTTGTAGCTGATCTTCTGTGTGTAGAGTCAGTTTACAAAATAGCTAGCTATTATTTCCACAACAATATTTCTGGTAAGGTGGTCATCTTCAGGATCAATGAGCTGGTCCTTCACAGAACGCTCGCGCCACGGGACGCCTGAAAGTCTCTCTTTCTGTATTATCCAATTCTCCAGCCAAACGCGCTTTCATAGCCAACGCATCTTCAATTTCTCCTATCCACTTTCGCATAGGTCTGCCTCTGCCTCGTTTCCTGGAAAGTGTACGCTCTATCATCGTGAAGGGGGATGATACTTTGGGAAAAATCCTAGCACTTTCACTCCAACAATTACAAGCGCGCAGACGCGACGTTTACCTGGCCGTCACAGATAATTAATGTACTGCCAGTCTGACAAACACAGACCATTTAGATTAAAAAACCACATCGATTAGCATTTTATTCTGCTTGAGTTTGTTGCGTTGTAAATGGAAGCGTTTAACTGTTTAACAGACAGAGGTTAAACAAACTGGCTGAGTGTGTCGAGCTTTGCTTATGACAGAAATTTAGAATGTAATCTATTGTTTGTGTTTTTATTACCCTATATTAAAAAAAAAAACGTTGGAGTGGAATTTTGCTTAAGTTGTTGGTTTGTAGTGTCTGTGTGACCTGCCCACTGGGTAGGCACATAGGGAGCTCAGCTGGTCGAGTGTTGTCCTTTGCTGGGTATTTCAGTGGGGCGACGACACTTAATAGCATCGGGTTTGATTTAATCTTTTTTTTTTTACAAAGTGAACTTTCTTATATTTAGGAAGCAGCTAACTATATATGTATACAAACTAAAGTAAGATATTCTTAAATCCAGTTTGAAATTGAAGGAGTCGCTGACTCCTGGAGATTGCATAACATCACGGCATATCAAGCGACTAATCGCGCCCTGGCTCGGCTGCAGATAGTCTGACGAACTGAGACGCCTAACGGCATAAGCAGATATTGACAAAAGAAGAAGAAAAAAGAGTTTGAAATAACTTCTCTTGTGTTTGGGAATGACAGTTTTTTTTTTTTCTAATGACGAGTTTGAAACGACCTTGGCTGTTTTGTGTGTGTGTGTGTGTGTGTGTGTGTGTGTGTGTGTGTGTGTGTGTGTGTGTGTGTGTGTGTGTGTGTGTGTGTGTGTGTGTGTGCTGCTGCATCTCTGACATGGAAAACTGTACTAAAGATTGCACACGACATGAATTCATGCAAAGTCTTTTCTGAACGAACGAACGAACGAACGAACAAACTTTATTTTCAAAGGGTTACAAAGTGGGCACGCAGGCCCGTCTGACATTCGGCCCTTCCAAGTACTCATTTTCAGAGTACTAATATCTGAAGCCACGTGTGCCACTAGGCATAAAGAGAATGAATGATATACATATATATATATATATGTGTGTGTGTGTGTGTGTGTGTTTGTGGTATACGTTTTAACGGTTGTTAAGTAAAAATTATAAATTTGCTAACTTTTGGTTACTTTGGTACCTTTTCAAAACACATCTCCACAGTCTTGAGTGTGACCCGCCCTCTGATGTGTGTGTGTGTCCTAGCCCATATAACACAAGTAAAGAACCTTTGGCTTCACCTCCAGGCGTTCGGGGCATATTGTCCTAAACCTATACTTATAGACCAAACTGCACACGGTGTTTCCCATGCCGGCTACCTTTACTTCCCCGGACTGTACTTGGCACCCATTTACGGCTGGGTCGACCTGGGAGCCAAGGTCATTTTTTTTCTTTATAAAAGTCCGACTCCATCTGGACCTTAACCTATGACGTTAGGATTTACAGGCGAGCATCTAGCCGCTACACCACGACGGCTCTTGTACCGTTGCCTACTGCCATAAAATAAAGAGGCCCTTATTTTACTCTCCATGTAATAAGTCAGCAGCAGCGAGAAAGTGTCCTTACACTGATACGTTCTCAGAATTTAAATTACTCGCACATCTGGTTAAATATCTCCCAACATGTCAGCCAAAAATACAGAACCTGCGTTTGGCTACCATACAGTTTGTCATAGCCTCCAACCCACGCTTAATCATAATTTTTACTTGTGTGTTTTTCTATCCCGACTATAAATTGAACAATGGTAACACTGTTACTGTTATGGTATCCCTTTAACGCCTATAATTTCGACACTGGTAATGTTGTTTTTGTCATGTTATTCTTTCCTACCTACAAATTTGACAATGGTAGCATTGGTATTGTCATGTTATTCTTTCTCACCTATAAATTCGGCAGTTGTAACATTGTTATTGTCATGTTATTCTTTCCCACCTACCAATTCGACTGTGGTAACTTTATTCTTGTTGTGTTATTCTTTCCTATCTACAAATTCGACAGTGGTAACATTGCCATTTTCATGTTAATTGAAAAAAAAAATGGACACAGATGGTATTCGCATCAAAGCGGTAAATACACGTGATAAAAGCATAAGACAGCATTGTAAGTGCCAACACAAGCAGCCCGACACCAGAAATGCAGTTCATCCTCGATGGAAGCAGCCGTTACAAGTAATCATTAGTTGCACACGCAATTATTCTTAGAAGGCACCACCAGTTCTCTGGCAACAGGCCGCTCGCTATGTTCTGAATCTGCAGTTGGCAACACACACTAAATCAAAGATTCCTACTCTAAAGTGCACAATGTTTGGGACAGAACAGTAGACCCGACTGGAGCCGTAGAAGTTATGCCATTCGCACTCTTGTCTATCCTGTCCTTTCAGTGTTGATAATTCTCTTCCGTGCTGTTGCCATGTTTCTGATTACACTTTTGTAAAAACCTGCCTACACTTTTCCTTCACTGGCTTTGTTGGGTTTAGAACAGGCCGGAAATAGTTAGTGTACGACCAAGCCTATAATTAGGGTTAATTGGAGTGCTGTCCAAGTTGTGAATACATTCAATGTGCTTTAGGGCCTTCATAAACAGGGATGGAATAGGGGTAAAAGTGCGTCGTGTTGACAAACGGGGCAATTTTGCAGGTAACATACAGTTCT